GTCCATCACTGATGTACCTCGTTAAGTTGGGGTGAATCATTTACCTCCTGGATCGCTAGTGCCGGGGGACTAATACTTAGGCTTATGCTGCTGTAAAATGTAATCTCAAACCAGGTACTAGATTTGTTATTTCTTAGAGATCAAAATTCTAGCACGTGGAGGTGAAGAAGCATGTATCGAGGACTGCCAGTCCAGTGGGTCTAGAACGCTGGAAGTCCCACAGACAAGCCCTGAGCTGCCACTCTTGACTCAGTGACTCCAGGCAAAGCAGTTCCCTTAGCCCTGCCTCTGCTTCCTCATGTTTACAAACGGAGATAATGATATTATCTTCCTTGTTGTTAGGAGATTCATAGGAGAATCAAAAAACCCTAAGAGATAAAAGTCCTATGTAAACTATGGTGTTACATCTACATACAAGTTAACCACGTTGTTATTAACAGCAGCATGGTCTGAAAACTGAGCAAATATAACTTTGTAATATGCTCTAATTTCTGTGTAATGAAGGAAGAGGAATACTGGAAGTAGAAATTTAAAAAGTGAAGTAGAAATCATTTCAAACTTTAAGTTAATGTTTGAGAAGGAAAAGCAAAGATTCTTTCATGTTAAAAAGTCAGGTTCAGGTCGGGCGCGGTGGCTCACGCCTGTAATCCTAGCACTCTGGGAGGCCGAGGCGGGCGGATTGTTTGAGCTCAGGAGTTCGAAACCAGCCTGAGCAAGAGCGAGACCCCGTCTCTACTAAAAATAGAAAGAAATTAATCGGACAACTAAAAATACATAGAAAAAATTAGCCAGGCATGGTGGCACATGCCTGTAGTCCCAGCTACTTGGGAGGCTGAGGCAGGAGGATCGCTTGAGCCCAGGAGTTTGAGGTTGCTGTGAGCTAGGCTGACGCCACGGCACTCACTCTAGCCAGGGCAACACGGTGAGACTCTGTCTCAAAAAAAAAAAAAAAAAAAGTCAGGTTCATGGTGGCAATTGGGTTTGGGGCAACACTAATGTTTAAGTGGTATTAAAATAAAATCATTCACATTTGAGTGCCTATGAGTTACAAAAAAACACTAAACAAGCTATTGTAAGGAAATGTGATGCAATCAGCATAGAGATAATTCATCACATCTTTCCGCTGGTTTCAAAAGCCATAACTGAGTAGGGAGGGAAGACCTGGGCCTGAGCAGTGGAGGGCCCAGGGGAGGGGCTCCCCTGGCATCCGGCAGCTGTACTTGCCCTGATGAGAAATGGTGACACTGCTGGACTTCCTAAATCCTGGGCTCAGGTCCCAGGGAAAGCAAGTCTTCTTGAGGTCATTGGCAAAATCACACACTTGTGACTACAAGGTGGCCGCTCTGTGAAACCTCTTCTAATTGGAATCATCCAGAGGAAGGCGGTAAGATTTAGTAGCAAGTCAGAGTCAAGAGCCAGTCATTGCATACTCTAAGCTGTTATACAACCAAATGGTTGTACGTCATCTCTTCTAGGTCAAAATGCAGGAAGTTGAAAATTTTATACGCCTAAAAGGCTCACATTAAATATGATCACTGCCATATAATTAATTTTGACCTTGAAGTTAAAGATACACTGAAGTGTTCATTTTTCAAGAACATACTGATTTTAGATTGAATTCGGACTCCACTTTCTTTATGGAAATGATACTACCTGGCATGACTTACCTATTACAAATTCCAGGTCAGTGCTGGTCAAATCAACCAGGTTTTAACTAGAGTTTAAAAGTGCTTCAGGTAAACAGTAGAAAGTGGAAGTGTGTGTTTGAAGCAATCTGTTGATTTTGAAGCAGGCATTTTTATCCATTTTAAACTTCTAAAAAAATAATCACAAGTGTTGGCAGTGACACACAAATACATTTAATACATTTACCTATCTGCTTTTTTGAGTTTCCAAAATTACTTTTGGTAAGTGAGTATAAATCTTAGAATGCTGAATAGTGATTACATTACTAGACAATTCTAAAGTGAAATTATTGGCTGTATTCATAATTATCTTTTTAAAATTAGATTCCTAATTCCAATCTTTAACATGTATCCAATAATGTGATCTGTCCCTTACCTTTCTTATCTTATAAGGACAAAAAAAAAGAAAGTAAACAAAAGAAAAGTCTCACCTAAACCCAGGAGTATTTAACTGCTGTCTACACTCTTAAAAATAAAACTGCTGGCCAGGTGTGGTGGCTCACACCTGTAATCCTAAGACTTTGAGAGGCCGAGGTGGGAGGATTGCTTGAGCTCAGGAGTTCAAGACCAGCCTGAGCAAGAGCGAGACCCTGTCTCTACTAAAAATAGAAAAATTAGCCAAGTACTTCCAGCTACTCTGGAGGCTGAGGAAGGAAGATGGCTTGAGCCCAGAAGTTTGAGGTTGCTGTCAGCTATGACATCACTGCACTCTAGCCCAGGTGACAGAGTGAGATTCTGTCTCAAAACAAACAAAACTGCTAAAAACAATAAAAAGTTCAGAGCTATAGTGCATATCACTTCTCTTGGAATGTCTATAATGTATAAGACAGAAGAATTTGGCTAACTACTCTGTATTAGATGCAGCCTCTCACATCTGATTGTTCTATTCATGGTACATATGGAGAGGAAAGATTAAGTAAAATTTGCCAATGTCAAAGTTTGTTTGGATTGGGAACTAATTTTGTTTTTCAATATTGACGATTTTTAATAATACTGATAATGTTTCAGTTAATATGGGACCATTTCTCTTTCATATGCTGCCATGGTTGTACTGAACAGTCAAAATTTTAGGGGCAAGATGCTGGCTAGGCCCATGACCACATTCTCCCCTACTGCTCCACAAGGGTTCACCCTACAGCCCAGGTTTAAACAAGAGGAAATGAGGAATGTCCTTTGGTCAAGGCTGTACACCCTCCACAGAGCTCCATTTTCACCTGTCAGCCTATTAATGAGCAAGTTTAGGTCTTCCAGGGGAGTTTTCCATGCAACAATTCCAGGATCATTCTGTCGTTTTGTGGAGGTCCTCATCTCTGTGTGTGCATGGTGTGCTCTTGAAGGGAGGGACTTTCCCCAATACCCCAGGGAAGAGATGATCTTCAGACAGATTAATAGATTGTCTCTGCTCCCATTTGACTAATTCTCTGAAGCCAAGCCCAGGTAAGGAGGTAGAAGAGGGAGGTGGGGTATGGTACTCTCCTCTGCTCATTGCTCTCTTGGTCTACACTCCAAGGTAGCTAGAGGTCTGGTCTTGGGTTATAAGGGTTAAAAATGGACACAGTCAGTTGGAGGCAACCAGGGAGGTAGAAAGGAAGTCATTTCTGTCATGCCAATAAATGAAGATGACCAAGTCATATCTTTCCCTCCAATTATCCAGAGTCAAATGACTTTCTGTCCTTACTTCCTTTCTCTTATCCACAACCCAGTGGTTCTCAAACTCGGGTGTGCATCAGAATCACCTGGAGGGATTGGGAAAACCCGGACTGCTGGGACCTGGCTCCAGAGTTTTCAATTCAGTGGGTCTGGGGAAGGGCTCGAGACTTCACAGTTCTGACACGTGCTCCAATGATAGTGATGCTGCTCGTCTGAGAACCGCAGCACTCACCCACTGTTTCTCAAAATGTGAGCCACGGACTACCTGATCGTAATCACCTGGAGTACTTGCTAAAACACAGGTATATGTCCTTAGAATCTGAGGGCATGGGGCTTCAGGATGATAAACTTTACCAACTTCTCAAGTGACTTTCATGCACCTACACTTTCAGTCTTGGTACCTTACCCTTCAGCAAAGTTTCATTTTAGGGTTCTGTTCAATCTAGATGAGCGATGCTACATTAAGGGTGGAGTTCTCAGGCAAACCCTTAAACTAGAGGGGCAAACAAGCCACATCCCAAGTGCCAGCTGTGTTCCGAGACTTATTCCTTGACCAGCTGTGATGCAGGCTGCACTGTGGGAAGGGGCAGTGGCAGCCCATCATCGCCACCTTAGAGTGAGTGTCAGCGGAGAAGGTGGTCTTTGGAGACGTGACTTGGGAACAGAAGTGGTAAAACCCAAGGGGAAGGTGACTCTTAGAGAACCAGGTTGGGCTTGGTGGTCTGTCTGTGTGACGACCTATAATGACCCCGCCTACTGGCCATATTCCTTCTGAGCCAGCTACAGCCTACAGCTCTTTCCATACCTGAGCCCACACTGTTGAGTAGAGGAAGGCCTCCAAGTAGACCCCAAACGTCTTTGCCCTATTTATAAGAGCATCTCTGTCTTCATGAAACCAGGCAACAATCACTTTGATGTCTGCAACATTTAATAATTCCAACTCAACAATTTAGATCATTTAATAAATTCCCTTCATGAATGACATAGACGTTACACCTAAGATCAAATACACACACACACACACACACACACACACACACACACACACACACAAGACACCTTCTAACTGATTCACGCCAATTTTAAGACCAAAGAAGGAGAAGGCAGGTCTGCCGAGGTGCTCACTCATGAGTAAACAGCCTGCTCCAACACCAGCTCTAGCATGCACCAAGAGGCAGACCCTGGCCAGGGTCACTGCAGTGGTCCCTGCTCTACACTCTCAATCTCACTGCTTTTAGCTCCAGAGCCACGAAAGGAAACCAAGACTACGGCCACAAGTTTTACTAAAGAAAGACTCAGCAAATACAAATTGGAAATTTTTCACAAGCCAATCCCAGACAGAATAAATGCCTTAACAGAAATTTCTAGAACCTGAAAGGTTAACTTCCATGGTAGAAATGAAACAAAATGGTAATGCACTTCTATTTGTGGGCAAATCTGGGTTTCCTGAGTCTTCACTAAGCAGGTTTTTTCAAACTCAATGCTTTTTCTTGCAGCCAACATGCTAGACTCCAGCAAATCTGTTCAACCGTTCTAACATGTTCTAAAATTATAAACCGGAACCTACACTATCCTAAAAACCTCACGCTCTGAGCTTCACACACCCTCTGCTCGTCCTGCATCGGAAACAAGGCAGTTTCTTCAAAGTCTCTGTCACTGCTTTACCTGAGCTGGTTGAGGCGGGGGACTTGCTGCGCCTGGAGGGTCCGGGGCTCTTGGTGGTGCTCCTGCGGGACGATGAAGCTATTTTGGTGTAAGAAGTGGACTTCACCACTCGACATTCTGGGGAAAGAACAACAACCGCACATCATTATTGGGTAACAGCACACACCCCCACGCAAAAAGCACAATAAACCTGGAAATAGAAACATACAACCATCCTCAGTCACATCTACTTCCTGTCAGCCAAACGCTCGTCTATGAAAATGGAACCAAGAAAATGAGGAAGGGCACGATGGGCTTCCTAGACATGGAAGTAAATAATACTCCAAGCCTCTTAGTTTTCCTTTTTTACCATCACATTTTGGAAAATTAGGAGTAATAGGCTGATAAAGAGGTGTTTTTGTTGGGTTTCTCTTCAGCCACTCTTTGAGTTATCTGTGTATGAGGGTCTTTCTTAGGATAAATTGTTCTTTCTTCCAAGAAAAATGTTAGAAGAAAGATCAACCTCATAAACCAAGAAATGTGGTGATGGAAGATTCCACGCATCATGACAGGGCAAGTTTATTGTCCTGTAGGTCCCCACGGGGATAGCTGTGGGTCTTTATGATTTGTGGGAAATGACAGCATTTGCTTAGAAGAGGTAAAATTGGTGGAGAGATGATATTTCCCAATATAAGCGCATGGTGGGAGCCAGTGCCACCACAGGAAGCTACTAGAGAGCCTGTATTGTGTCTGTGCAATGGTTCTTGGCTTGAGGATGAGAAACAACTTCACTTTCACTAGATTTAAATCCTCAGTGTTTGCGTTCATTAAATTCTATGCTAAACACCTTAAATCGCAAAGAGCTTTCGATTTCTCTCTTAATGGGCTGCATTGATAAATTATAATGTGGTGAAAACACACATCTTGTTCTTAAGAAACCACTTTTAATAATTAAAACATATTTGTATGCTTGTAATGATAAAGTGTTGTAGATAGAAAAATATAAAATATATTTAAAAACACCCCAAATAACCCATGATCAAGAGATACTTTTGTTTTTTCTTTTTTTGGAGAGGGGTCTACAAATGTCTAGAATGCTTTCTACACATTTATGTATGTCAACAACATTGAGATTAATCTGCACATATTGACCTGTTATCAGCCCTTTTCACACTACAATATCCTGAGAGCATTTTCATGTCGTCATTTAATGGCTGCTGAGCATTTGACTGCGTTGGAATACCATAATTTACTTAACCAAATTCCTACCATTGGACATGTAACTTGCTTTCAGTAGTTTTCTATTATAAATACTCAATAACACTCTTATAAATGAGTGTGCAGTTATCCACTTATTTCCTTAACATAGATTTAGTCCCTGGCACTCAAAATTTAGTTTCTAGTAACTATTAATAAAAACCAAGGGCATATTGTAGATGCTCAAAAATATTTTCTGACCCTCTTCTTTCAAAAAAATTTTAAGTTCAGAATTAAAGGAAAAATAGCAATATACTTACTCTCTCCCCTCCAATATCACTACCATTTCTAATAGTGTGTGGATCCTACTGTAGTTTTTCTAAGCTTATATAAACACATATATACATAAACAATTTTTTGTTTGCTTTTTATAGACATGACAAGATATTGCCATATGTTACACATTTGCCATACTTATTACATATTATAATCCTCTTTCTTGGTCAATACATAGCAATCAAAATCCTTCTTCTAAGATCTTCATTATCTTTTGCAATATGACACAATTTATTCAATCATTCCCCTATTGATGGATAATAGTCATTCCTTCTAGTCCAATTTCTTCTTTCTTCTTCCAAATTAAATAAAAAATTTTAAGTTAAAAAAATCTGCTAAATAAAGTGGGTTTGGTGAGTTGAAAGAGAAACACTTTTTAACACATGGACTACCACACTAGAAAAAAAATTTTCCTTGGGGCCACAGTGTTTTATTGCAAAAATAGAATAAAAACTTTGAAAACAAAACGATCCTTTCTAATTTAATAAAAAATTTGTTATTTTTTATTGTTTTCTGTGCATGAGTTATATGCGACTTGAAAAATACTTCTCACAGCTCCCGAGGTGAAGAGACATGTGAGTTATATATGATTCACGAAGCCCCGGGCTCAAAGCTAGTGTGAGTTAAATACAACTCACATGGCACTTAATGTGTTAAAAACTCCTAACAAATTGTCTCCAGAAAGTCTGACCCAAACTGTGCTTTCTCTAGACCATGAGTGATCATTTGCCTGATCCCTCACTGAGGTTAGGTATTATTTTTTCAAAAACATCTTTGCTAATTTCTAAACAAAATCAGACTTCATTGCTTGAAATCTGAATTTTTTTGATTGCTAGTAAAGTTGTACATTTTTTTCACATGTGTATTAGCCATTTGTATTTCTTCTTTTACAATTACCTTTTATGTCCTTTGCCTATCTGCAGTTGAGATCTTCTTCTTATTCATTTGTAAGAATACATTCTCTTTTAAAATTTATCCCTTAGTCTATCGTGTTATAAATATTTATCTTTGTAGGTAGTTACTGAAATATGTTAGCCTTTTTAAAGTAGTGATCTTTTTAAGTATGGTAGTTTACAATTAAACTACTTTAACTTTTCCATTATACATTTTTTAAACTATTTTATACTTTAGTAACAAAACACTCATAATAATTCCAGATCTAATTCTGAGGCCTGACTTCAACTTCAAAGTTTTTCTTCCCTATCTAAGCAACTTCAAATATTCTAAGTTCAAAACCTGTTTCTCTCTTTTATACATTCTGAATGGCTTTATATAAACATCTTTTCCTATTTTTTTCTAATATCCAAACCAACAAAGTGGTTTATATTGTTTAGCAAAAAAGGAATGTGAGTGTGTATGACATACAGATGTTAAAAGACTAGAAATAGGAGGTAAGACATGGAGAACAGGGTCTCCTTGAGAGCCTCATGAATTGAACTGAGGCGAAAGAAGAAGGAGGATTTAAAAAAAAAAAAAAAGAGGAAGGAAATTCTGCCTTGAAATATTAGTAGTTATGGCTTCCTCTGCCTGTTTTCCTAGCCCAAAGCAGAGAGAAATGAACCAGGGCATTGCAGAGCCAACCCAGTCTTCCCCAACAATTACCTGGGCCACTGTTGGCTGTTCTGGCCTATCCCGGTGCCCTGCAAGAGATTTCCATTTCCTTAAAAAAAAGGGGGAAAAAATCTACACACCTGGGCATACTAGCAAAAATTAAAAGATAGGAGTAACCAAGAAACAACATTCATAACATCAGAAGATGTGATCAGAAAAGCCAGGACCACTCACACAGGACCATCATGCCTGAGGGTGTGTCTGTGGAGATTTTAATTCACAAAACAGAGCTTTGGAATGTGTGATCTCAAATTAGCTCAAGGCTCTGTCCACACAACTGACAACACATCCTGGAGTTTGTCCTAGCATTTGGACATCTGTCTAGACTTTTGGAAGAACTCTAACAACCAAACTGGAAGGCCATGGTGTTCCGGTCCGTCGGCATGCTTGCAACTACATTTTTACCAAATGTCTACTCTGTGCCAGGCGCTGAGAGCTGCAGGCACGATGGAGAACAAGACAAAGTTCTGGAACTCAAAACACTTACCACCTGGTAGTGGTGCACGAAGTCTTCTCACCAACAAGACCTCTTTTTGCTAATTTTTATTTCATGGACCTCATGTTTGAAAAATGTTGGTTTATGCAACAAATTGCTCTTAAGTAACATTCCACTTTCTCATTTTAAATCAAAATCAAGACTATAACGAGGGCCGATGACCAGAACTTTTTGTTCCAGGTCATGAATGTTGAGAGGTCACATAAATTTAAAACAATAATTTAAAAAGCTCAGCGTCTAGTTAGCAGGAATGCATAGTTAAAATAGAAAGCTACCAGATGGTGCACATTGTTAATAACACCCATCTGTGAGCCGCAACATGAATTAAAAAGTTGATTTTAGGGTTTGTGGCATGCTGCTTGGCACAGGTGCCAGAATTGCAAGTTATGGCCTGGACCTCCTAACCAGGGCTCTGGTCCCCATCACAGAACCAATCTTACCACACTAAGTTGACATTTTTCCAGCTACCAGAAAGTAACCAGGTATTTTAGTTAGGCAGCTTAGTCTTATCAGAGCAAATGTAGTCGTTTCATTAGGTTTTTGAAGTATTGAAAAGAACCTGAAGGCTCTTGCCATGCTTCCAAAGTTTCCTTTGCTTCTCTTGAACTGAGTCTGATAGATAAATCAAATTTATTCATGTATTAGTCTGTCTCCCCTCCCCCATACTCTATTGGGTACTAACCAGTTCCTGGCATACTAAAAAGTATGTAGTAGGTGCTCAATAAATACTGGCCTGAATTGCTATTGATCCTGTTAATACTTGTGAGAACTCTTAGTATTGACTGTGCTAATCCAACCTCTCATTTCACAGATGGGGAAACTGAGTCTCTGAGAGACTAAATGACTTACATCAGAAGCCAGGTCTCCTGAGTAGGTGGAGGCTTCCTCATCACCCCAGTATCTGATGTTGTGGCCTTAGTAAGCTGTTGCTTTGTGCATAAAGCCTGGGAAATTTCTCCCTGTGCCCATGGTAGGGGCAGACAAGGGAGAGACGGTAGGCCAGGGAAGGACTGTAAATAGCTAGTTCTCATATCAACGTTAAATTAAAAATTCAAGATACTAAAGCTACCTCTCTATCAAGATGTTTATTATGTCAGGGAAAAAAAAAGAAACAATGAGCTCTTTCAGAAGTGAAGTTATAATGAAGTGATAGCTTGGAGGATGGTGGAGTCTGAAAGATAATTACAAATATTACAAACCTTGTACCACCTGCCTCCAGGATAGGAGTGAAGCTTCCTGAGTCACACTGGGGATTAGAATAATTCTGAAAGGCTTGGGTTGAATAACAGAAACAGAAGTAAATAATTTATAGTAACTGCTTTTGTTTTTCCTAGGGTCAAAATAAACCCAGTTGAAGAATACTGCAGTGCCAAGCCATAGATTAGGAAAAAATGAATACAAAAAACCCCAACCATTTTTCCAATTAAAGTTTAGATTTTAAACATTTTAATTCATTTAAGTGGGAATTGTATTTCATAATGGCGCAACACAGTGAGGA